GAGTTCAGTCCTATGTCTTGGCTTTGCTATTAAATACTTTGCCACCTTTGGTTTCATAATACTGCTTAATTTGAGAAACAGATTAAATCAATAATTATAAGAATAAAGCTAATATTATTAATAAAAATGTAATGGTCTCTGCCTAGTCAAAAGTTCAAGCCTACAGTGTCCTCCTATTTGGTTGGGTCTCCTTTTTCTTATAACCTGGCACATTATACTTGGTAATTGTGTCGCTTAAAGTGCAGAATCCGTTACCCCAGTTCTGGAGGCCAGATTCCAGAATGCGGTGTCAGAATGTGTGCTTCCTCCTGTAAGCTCTGAGGGGGATCTGGTTTTGTCTTTTTTTTTTCTTTTGTGATTTTCTATCAAAGGATAGATTGCTATTGGATATTAGTGATTATCGATAGGTGACTTTATATATTCAGTTGCCATTGTTGCCCGGATAGCTGTCACATCAATATTGCATTAATTATAAAGAGGGGGTCAAGCAAGTGGACATGCAGATTAGCTTTCCGGCTGGGCCTGTTTGTGTGCACAGGTAGCTGGGGGCTGTGAAGTCAGGAACATCTTGATTGTGAGGTCAGCAGGGAGTGGCTGTATAGGAAGACCTTGTCTTAAAAGATAAACCAAAGGACCTTTGACCACAAGGACAACGTGTTAGGAAGGTTAGGGCAACAGCAACAAAATACAAGCAGTAAATAGTTAAGAACTATACAGTGATACTCTGCCTTTAAAATAAATGAACACTCAACTCTCCCCCAGCAATTTTATTTGCAGGAATTTATTCTGCAGCTGATATAATCATGCAAAATGGTACTAGTTCAAAGCACTGACTGTAGCATTAGTCCTACCACACAGCACCAGGAGTAGGGTGAGCATCCTCTGCTGAAGACCCACCCGAAGACTCAGCCTCTATGACATACACTATCCTACCATCCTTACGCATCGTAGGACTGCAGCCGTGGTCTTTACTCCCATGCTTTGAGTCTAATCTTTAGGAAACCTGGCCTGAGGATACTACTTACAAATGAGAAATGGAAAAGCCAATGTCGTAATTCTTAACCTATAAATACAGTTAAAAGATGTACACAGAGCTCCCTTTCCTGCCTCTATAAAATGTAGCTGCCTATGTTAAGGTACCTTTTTCTAAGATGATTTTTTTTTCCTGGAGAAAAAAAAAAGCAAAGCTTGTGGCTACAACCATATGTATTATGTCATGTGCATACACCATGTACCCTCTCTGCTTTCCAGTAAATGAAATATTTGTAACTCCTGAGATGAGGTGGGACAAAGACCACTTTCAGTGACTAGGCTTTCAGTTGAATTTTGAGTCATAAGCATAAGGTACTTAATGCATAGATATGTGTGTGTAGACACTTTAGACACAACATGACTTGGGAAGAAGAGAGCCTCGGTAAGGAAGGCAATAGTGACTTCTGCCAAAAGATGGTGGTGGTCGCATGGCACGGAGACTCTTTGAATAAATGCTGCCCCCCCAAAAAAAAATAGGAATCAGAAGGGTGATGAATTTATACTTGCATCTCCATTCCACACTCTGTAGGGCTTGGAAACCAATTCGGTTTTAGAATCAATAATAAAGGAACAATGAAATTCTCAAAGAATAAGGGAGAAAGGAATGGGAGAAGAGAGAGGAACTGGTGAGGGAAGAGAGACAATGCAACTAGTAGCTGCATGGACCATGGCAAAAGAGATGCGGGTGTTCTCAGTCTAGGGAGTCAGGTGGTGATTGGCTACCCCCAAGTAGGAGAGACTGCTGTGAGGAGGAGGAGGAGCAGAATTCAGTTCCCTTTAGGACAGAAGCCTCAGACTTGCTGACTGACTGGGCATGCCTGGGAACTAGGAACCGCAAGCAGGTGACTCTCAATGACTGCCTTCCAGGAAACAGCGGGGCATCCTCAAAGCCTGCACGTGAGAATTATACCTGGGTTCTTCCTTTCCATGTCCCGATTTTCATCCTTAGGGAAGTGGGCCTTAGGGTACTACTCGTGATTCTAAAATGGAATAAGTAATGATTTAATTCCCAACCAGTAAAGGGCAGTCCAAATGACAGGCTCCTCCATTTCCCCAGGGCTAGTTTTTAACCTGGGACAGAAATAAGCCACGTGTATTAAATCAATACAATCACTCACAGCTTAAAAAAAAAAAAGGAAGGAAGGAAGGAAGGAAGAAAAAAGGGCGCTCCTTTGCTGAGTGTATTATACCAACTACTTCTTACCTCCTTCAGATGGCCTAATCCTAACTGCCCTTCAGAGCCAAGCCAACTCCATCCTTGGATTTGGTACCTTGAGCAATCACCCAAAGATATTTCTACTGAAATATAAGCCCAAAGACATGATGTGATATTCTGCAATTCCATGCCACTCCTGTGCTTTCTCGTCCTCTCTTTCTCAGTGGGGGCCGTCTCTGTGAATCAGAGAGACCAGACTAGAGACAGTGGGACTGTGTGCCCATGCTCAGGCGCGGTGAGCCGGCCTCGTGAACTTCGCATGCATTTTGATCACACAGATGGCAAAGTCACTGCCCACTGAAACATTTCTGCTGCTTCTCTGGTGCCCACTGCCCACACGCTCAGGGTTATGGTCTCAATTTTCTACCCATCGGCTCTGGAATCATCACTTTCCTCCTCAGCCACTCCTGCGGTCATAAACCCCTTTCAGTTGTCACTCCTTTCTTTTTCCCTTTTGCTCTGGAGACTACATTGGCCTTGACTTTGAGGCAATCCTTCTGCTTCAGCGGTCCAATTATAAGTGTGTGGCATCACCACCCAGCTTCTCATTTTTCATTAAAAAAAAAGGAGTTCAATTTTGACATTTTCACATATGAATAACACACTTTTCACGCACACAGTAAATCTGGATTATACATATTAAAAATATATATTTGTCTTTCTGCATCTGGCTTACTTTGCTTAATGTTATGATTCTCAGCTGTAGTCTCAAAGTTCTCTCTCCCTCTCTCTCTTTCTTCCTCAAGTTTCTGGCTTACAAACTAATAAGCAGATACTAGTGAATGAGGGGCTTAAGATGATCTGATAAATTGAGGTGCGGGACGAGGAAGCAATGGCTTTCCTCACTGGCCTGGAACAACACTGGAAGGTCAGGTCCTTTCCACAGTGATATTTTAAACCCCATTTCTGCCCCCATTTCTCTCATTTCAAAGAACAAACTGTGTTCAAAGTAAAATGGTTTTGACCTTGTTCTCTCACAGGTGCTTGGGATTGGAGTTTAGATTTTTTTTTTTCCAGCGCTCTAATACCTTATACTTTTCGCTCGTTGTGATTCTGTAATTCATTTGCCTTCAAATTCTGCTGTTTACCCCCACACTCAAAGCTCCTTAGGAACAATCTCATTGTATAAGCCCTTACATTATTTCAGGGGCTGCTTAGGATCGTTCGTGATCAGCATTCGACTATTCTGAATGTATAGCAACCCGAGTTACATCGCAATATTTCAGGGGAACAAATTGGGCAGTCGGCAAGTCCTCAGACATCAGACATGATCGGTGCCAATCATGCCCCTAAATGCCCCGGCCTCATCATTTAAGTTGCAGCAATTTACTTCACTAGGATGAAGTCCACCTGCAACATAGGCATCAAGCCTCAGACATAGTCACTGCTAGTATAGCTCGTATTTTATTTTCTCCTGGAATCTTCCTCAACTAGTCAAAGGCCCATCACAATTTTTGAAATTTTCATTCAAAAAACAAACAAGCCAAGGATGCCCAAATCCACAGTCTTCTATGAATTACAAACACATATTTACATTGAACTCATTTTTTTTTCCTGTTACCTGATTCTTAACTATACTGGTTGTTCCTCGGCAATATCCCTTTCCAAGAAAACAAGCGCAGATTCAGACTCATTCTGAGTTGAAAGGGATCCTGGGACTGTCATTCCACAAACGAAACAGGGACAATTTAGAGAATCCAGGTCACTTGGTTAGAGTAAGTAATGATTTCCAGTTTTGTGGGGGTCGGCGTGACAGTTCGGCGTTCTCCTCAAAACTCCGAGTTTCTGATCCGTGATTCCTATTCCCAATCCTGAAAATTTTCCACTGTGTAATTTTGTCTGAGTATTTAAAACAATCGATGAAAACCAAAAGGGGTGGGATACACAGGCCGGTGATCATGTAATCCTTTACAGAATACAAAATCTCTTCACTTGTGTCCTTTGTCAAGAACAAGAAAACTCAAAGTTTAACAAAAGTTAGAACAGTGAGAATTTTAAAATGTTAATGTTTTGCCAGTATTTAGCGACTATTGAATTAAAATTTCTGTGCCATGTTCTAAAATCCTGTGGTTGGCAAAAAAAAAAAAAAAAAAAAATCTAAATACAATGCATGTAAGAGATAAAAACTGAACAAGAGTAAGAAGAAAATTCTATTCTTTTTTTCTGATTTTTGAATGAAGACACAATTAACAAATTTAATGGTTCCTAGTATAGTATGAGAGAACTGAATCTTGCGTGCTTGCATTGGTGGTTCAGTGGTAGAATTCTCGCCTGCCACGCGGGAGGCCCGGGTTCGATTCCCGGCCAATGCAATGTGAGGTATTTTTGTGGTTCTCTTGGCGCACAAATCTTGTTTTTGTGAAATTATCAGCATTAATGAGGAACGGAAATACGAGTTTTCTTTCCGAATCTTTCGTTTCACTTTCTCTTCGAGCAAACACGTATCTGTTTTCCATATTTTGTAGAATTTTCTTGGTCTTTTTGTTTTGTTTTTTTTATTTTTCGGTGTGTTAGTTGTGAGCAAAACGTTGATAAAGATAGAGAAAAAAATTAAACCCCTTGCGGCTGCTTGGAGATGCCGGGGATTGAACCCGGGACCTCACACATGCGAAGCGCGCGCTCTACCACTGAGCTACATCCCCCAGCCCGTAAGGGCACTCTTAACAAGCATACTCATTCGTGCAACTGAGCGACGCTCTACCACGTAGAACAAGGATTAGGTCTGACTTCATCCTAGTACAAGTTTCTACGGTGCATTTCTTTCTTTGTGCTATCGATTTAGGCTGCGCTCCTGTTGCCCCTGGGCCGGCCCCTTGCAGCGAACCAGCAGCTGAAATTTAGCCGCCAGGCGAGTCGCAGCGAGGGCTGCGAGCCGGCTTCGCCGGGGTCCGCCGGAGCCGGGAGCCTTGAACAATCAGAGGGCCAGGACCGTCCCGCCGCCCGGTTCCTTCCCGAACCCAACTCCGTGAGCCTACTGCGCAGGCGCCGGAGATCCCTGCGGCCTGTTGAGTGGTGCTGAGTTTTTTTTCGGAGCTAGGTTACAGACCCGGACTTCTACCCGGAGGTCAAGTCCGCTAGGGGAGGGCCGGTGGTGGTGGTGGTGGTGGTGGAGGAGGAGGAGGAGGAGGAGGAATTGCGGGCACCACTCAAATGACTCAATAGACCTCTTGCTGCATAGGCCTGTCTCTGCATTTAAGACTTTTATAGATTTAGCTGGGCATCCTGCACCTTTGGAAACCCCCTACGTCTCAGGAAAACCACATCAAAACTCCGTTTTACCCAGTGACTTTAACCTTCCTGCTCTGCCTTTTGCTGGACCAGATCCACAGAGATTCTTTAGATGGAGGTTATGGCCACTTTTTGCAGCTGAAGAATGATTTTGTTATTTGTTCTTCTTTTGCATGAGGCTCAGGCTGAAACAAAACCATGCTGTCCCCCTCTAAGTGGCTTAGGCGTGTATAAAGGATAAGTGGGGTAGGGTAGAGAACCTTCTCTAGATAGTCTTTCCAGTCCTTTGATATTTACACCTTGGACCAGTTGGATTGGCGGATGCACGTATAACTAGTCGATATGCATATAACTCTTTTAATGCCCTCGACATTCCCTGACCTAATCATGCCTCGGCCCTAAAATTTCAGTCGGCTGGGAGCAAGCTAGATGATCCGGTGGGCCGGCTATCTTTGAGTGAAGTAAGGTGTGTGTTCCTTCCAGGTGCATTTAAAACAGATTCCACTCCAGGAGGAGAGACTTTGTGGTAGCCGTTTCTGCTGCTAATGGCGGCAGGGTAAGTACCTGGTGGAGATGGGGCTGCGTCCGTCCAACCTGTAAGGTTGAGGCCAAAAGGCTGCAGCAGAGCGAGGGCCTGGAGTTGCCTCGCCCTTGGCTCGTGCAGAGGTCAGCTCTGCAAAAGGCAGAGGGAAAAGTAGAAATGTCAGAGTCACTGGGTAAACCACAAGCTTCATAATCACACCCTGCATTACGAATAAGTAAATGACCATGTTTGCTCACAACAATTTAAACAAATGATAATTCCGATTCGGGTTTTTTAATGAGAACAAGTCTCACTTGGATCTAATTCAGCTGTAGAAAAAACGGAGTTCGGGGGAACAAGTTAGACAGCTAACAAGGAGGTCTAATATATACCTAAGAATGCCCAGGTGTTCCTTCCCAAGGCATCAGACACACATTTCTTAAGCTGATCCTGAATGAGAAATCGGAGGAAGATCCAGGTCTCTATCCCAAGGTTTTCACCAGGGAAACTGGGGGTGCTTGCTGTTGCTGGCTACTTGCTCTGGAATTCCTTGGGTTGCCTTTCCTCGTCTTCTGTCTGTTTTACCCACTACCTGAAACCTTTCCTTTCTCATAGTTCTTTCTCAGGTAATTCCGCTTTTGTGGTTTCTAAGGCAGAATCTTAAATGTAGCCCAGGTTGGTCTTGAACTTTGGACAATCCTTCTGTCTACCTCCTAGGTGTTTGGATAATAGGCACATGCTGCTAGGCCAGGCTCTCGGTAATTCTGAAGATTTCAGATCTAAGTATAGGGAAACCTCATCTTAAATGCTACTCCTCCAATTCCACAGATCCCCAAGTCCCTAAAACATCAGTTCTCAACCTATGGATCACGAAATACGTGTTTGGTCTTAGGAAATGAGACACCACTCAGTAGCAAAATTACAGTTATGAAGTAGCAACAAAAATAATTTTATGGTTGGGGCCACAACATGAGGAACTGTATTAAAGGGTCGCAGTGTTAAGAAGGTTGAGAACCACTGCCTGGAGATTCACCTGAGAAGGCAGATGAGCCTAGGCTCCAAGACCAACAGGGACTGACTGGGAAGCGGTATCACAGGTCTGGCTTAGCCCAGGAAGATAGCTTTAACTTACTGCACAATTTCACGGCCGTGTTGATGGAGAGATGAAAAAGGAGGCGTGTTTCAGAAAACTCCTTGAACCACATCCATTTAGAATGCAGATAAACCTTGAGCCTCAGCAAGCTCAAGGTTTGAAAAGGCTGATCAGGTATCCCTAACTATAGAATTTAAAAAACAACCAAGCTATGCAAACAACCACACTCGAACAGACCAGTCTGTCTCCTCCTCCTATGCTCCTTACATTCCTTACATTACATTCAGTTGGAGAATGTTTTCTTATATTCCCAGATTTTTTTTCCTACCAAAAACCTGATACCAAGATGTATACGCACATGTGTACACATGTTCACGCATGTGCAACGCTACTCTGAGCGCTCCCCCCCCACACTCCCAATAATGTATACTGAACTTAGAGATAATAGGGCAGCTATTCATCTCCTGAGCTGAGATGCATTTCCAGTCCCCTTTTCACTTTCTTCTTCTGGGACAGAATCTCACTCTTGCCCAGGATGGGCCATGGACTGTAGCTCAAACAGACCTTGCATTTTCAATCCCCCTGCCTCAGCCTTCCACCTCGAGCCTACACCACTAGAAGCAACTCAAACCTCTTTCTAAAGCAAGCGGTATTTGTCTCTAGTACTGCGTTAACTTATCTTGTCTCAGCTCTTAGCACACATGATCTGGCAGGTATTGCTCAGCCCTCCGTTAGTGCCAGCCACAAGTTAAGGTGTCCGTTCCCTGTCTAGGAAGTGGACTTATTCCTGACTGTGCCTTGGAATTACTGGCACAGCTTTTGAAAAAAGATGCAGTTGTTTATTTGAGCCCAAACCTGGACCAACTGAGTTAGTGTCTCTGAGGATGAGTCCAGCAGCAATGTGTCCATAAACACATGCCTCTATTTGATAAAGAGTCCATGTATAATGTGATGATTTGGAATATATGCACATCATGTGAAGACTGCATTTTAATTAACATATCCTTCAAAGTTTACATCATGCTTTAGATCCCAGGGCTTGTTCATTTTATAACTGCAAATTTGTCCCCAGAGTTCAAGTTTCTCCATTTTCCTCACAGCCGTATCTTTTGAAAATTCTTCAGATGATTCCAATGTGCAACAAAGACCTAAAGCTGCACGCCTTTTGTGTAAACAGGAGAACTCTAACACTAAGTCCGTGGTTCTCAACCTTTAGCACATATGAGGATCAGTAGGAAGGCTGTAAAACTAAACTGGTACTTGCATCTCATCTCCAAATATTCTAATTTAACGGGTTTAGGGTGGCCTGGGCATGGGATGTTGGAAAGGCTTCCAGGTAAGTCTCCTAGGAGCCAAAGTAGAGTATCATTGCATTCAAGCGCGTACTTTCTCAAGTTCTCCACTTGTGTGTGAACATCCAAGGCTGCCATAATTCTGCAAGTGGAAGGCTCATTGCCCAGAGCTCCCCCACACACAGGAATTAGTGCTGCTGGAGGATGGAGCTGACTCATTCCAAGTTCTCTTCCTTATTTTCCTTAATGTAAAATCAAACTGGTGGAGGCAGGTGTTTTAGTGCTAAAAATGAGCATTTCTTATCCTCGGGTTCTGCGTTCTCTACCCCACATTCTTATGAATGGATTCCTTAAGTGGGGGTGACCCTGCAGATTTGCTGCCAACTCTGAGGCTCAAGAAGGGGCTGGGCAATGAGTGGGAGGGGTGCGATTTGCACTTGGCACGCGGTATGCTTGGTGCGTGTAACTTCCTGAGTTAAAATCCCGATTGCTTTACTCAAGCAGCTTTTCCAATACATTTTTTTTTGTTCCTTGGGGGCCATAACCATTGGTAATTCTTCCTCACCACAGTTAATTATCATTAATACCAATCTGAGGGCCAAGAAAACTGCTGATTACATTTATTACAGAGAAAGTTAATAAACATTACTCTTTCCAATATGGATCCCAAAGTGAAAAATTATAGTGATCATGGTCTACATGTAGAGTCAGAAGTGTTCATCAAACAGTAAGTTAGATCTTACAAGGAAAGCTGTAGATTTAGATTCTAATCACAAGTAACTTAGAACAGAAGGAGTAATGTATTTAAGGGGGGGTCACAAAAGTCTCATACATCAGGAAAGTGTCAATGGACACAGCTTTACAGAGGTTTATTTTAATATTAGAAGGAGTAAAATAATAACTGTCTTAGTGTGCTATGAAATATTTTTTCTGAATTTCAATGATCTGTTCAACCCTAGGAGTTTCGGTAGTCTCCATCTCTTATCATTAGAAATGGAATGGGTAGTTTCTCATGGTTGTCTCTGATTGAGACTTATCACCACTGGGTATCTGCATGTCTGTGACATGTGTTGCCTTACAGTTCAGTGAGGACAGTGGTACAAAGAACTCCTAGGGGTAAATGGGCACACGGAATTCTACCAGAGGATAACGATGTCATGACACTGGTTTATGGGATGGCTGCACAATGCAGTAGACATCCTAAAAGTCACATGATTGCAAGAGGAATGGATGGATGGCAACATGCAAATTGTAAGAAGATGGAGTATGCAAGGGACAGATGATTTCAGTAGGATGGAATCCTATGGGAGGTTCCTCATACACACTGTGTTTTTATGTTGATAACAGAAAATAAAGCGCTGAAGCACAGAAGATGGAGAGAGGATGATGACAGCAACCATTTCCCATGGATGCAGAAGGAGAGGAACGCATCTTCGGCAGAGATAGGAAACTGCCATTCAGTGACATCTTACCCATGAGCTGAAATAGTAAGTGATACCATTGTTGGCTACTGAACTGAGTCCAGGGGTACATTGCAGTACAACAGAAAAAAACATTCACAAGCGTTAGAAATCCCCTGTGTTTACAGAAGGAGAGCAGCTGAAAACAAAAATCAACCCAACTTACCTCAACCTCATTCCTGTACCCCAAAGTTGTACCTTCCAAGAATACTGCTTGCCCTTAATATCTGCTCCTCATTCTATGGCAGGAGATCTTCTTACCCATAGCTGGCCTCATGGCCACAGAAAGTAGTTAAGGTCTTTATTATCCCAAGGTGTATCTTCTCCTAAAGACACACCCAGAAACGTGATCCTCTCTTTCCTCATATTCTACAAGCCAGACCCTGATCTAATTCAAGCTTCACACGAGTGCAGAAAGAGAAAGAGGAAGGAGAGGAGGGCTCAACACACTAGCCCTGAGCTGGCTGCTTTGGGACTTCAGTGGCTAATAAATACTCACTGAAGGTTAAGCAACTCTCTCCGTTCTTCCCTCCCTCCCTTCCTTCTCGTCCTACCTCCCTCATTCCTTCTCTCTTTCCCCCCCCCCACTCTCCCCCATTTTTTCCCTCTCTCCCCTAAATTTTAATTCATAAAAAGGAAGCTTGTCATGATTCTCTCTGGGCCAAAGTAAACACACAGAAAAATGTGGCCCATGTGACCTGGCAGACATCAGATATATGTGCTTGAAGCAGTGTTAGTCAAACTTTATAGGTCAAAGGGGGAGGTGTGATTCTTGTCACTACGAACAAGGCTGGTGCAGAGAAGCCTACCAGCAGCCAGCAATTTATTTATTCCTCTCCTCTCCTCTCCTCTCCTCTCCTCTTCTATCTCTCTCTCCCCTACCCCTTTCTTCTGTTAACTCTAGGTAAAGAGCATCTATACTACTTTTTTGCTTGCTTAACCTCCCAAGGAAAGGAAGCAAAGGCAATGTGCACAGGAAAGAAATAATCTTCCTTAGCACTTCCTCTTGCTTTCTACTTATTTGTCACTGGTCATAGCCAAATCAAGAGGGGAAAGTTACCACAGCCTGTCCTCTGAGTTCAGAAGTTTAACTTCCCAAAGACAGGCTTCCAGTTGCTTTCTTCTACTTCTTTTCTTTTTTCTTTCTTTCTTTCTTTCTTTCTTTCTTTCTTTCTTTCTTTCTTTCTTTCTCTCTTTCTATTTTTTCTTCTTTTGGTTTTTGGAGACAGGGTCATTCTATGTAGCCCTGGATGTCCTGAAACTTACTATGTGGAATACGCTGGCCTCAAACTCACAAAGATCTGCTTGTCTCTGTCTTTTGAGTGTTTGGATTAAAGGCATGTGCCACCATGTCCCAATTCTCTTCCTCTTGTTTTATATATATATATGTGTGTGTGTGTGTGTGTGTGTGTGTGTGTGTGTGTGTGTGTGTAAGTGTATCCACTGAAGCTGGAGTTAAGGTAGTTGTGAGCTATCCCACATATGGGTGCTGGGATCAAATACATCATCCTTGCCCCCGTAGTATAGTTCCCTCCCCTTCTCTTTTTATTCCGTGGTGGAGATTGAACTTGGGACTTTGAGCATTAGAATGGTAAGCACTCTACCAACGTGCTATATTCCCAGACACTAAGTTCTTGAATTTTTTAAAAACATTTATTTATTTACTTATACTGTGAAACTGAGCTCCAAGGCCTTTGGCCTCTGTGGCAACCTGCATATAGACCAACATAAACAAAATAGAAATAAGATCTCTAAAGAAAAATGAATGTTGTAGTGAGTACATTGGTTTAACTCTGTAAATACAGTGCTTGGGAAGTTGAGGCAAGAGGAGGAACAACATAAGTTTGAGGTTGAGAGGCCAGCCTAATCTACATTGTGAATTCCAAGCCAGCCTGGACTAAAAGATGAGACTCCGTCTCAAAAACAAAAAATAAAACTGCAAATGTCGTATAGAATCCCGAGGAAAAAGTTCCATAGCAAATAAGCCCAATACATGTATAATTAAACCACATAACTAAATATAATTATGCAACGATTACATAGCTATATATATGCTTTAAGACGACTATACAAATTTGCTGATGTAAGACATTTCTAATACCAGCCACTAAATATTAATTGATTAAGACTATATAATGGATGGGAATTGTGAAAGAAGGAAGTGGTATCTACATTTCTGGCTTGAGCAATTATATACAAAGTGCCCATTAAAAAGAAAGCATTCAAAGAAATATATGTTTTATTTTTGAAGCAGGACCTGACTGTGTAGTTCAGGCTGGTCTAGAACTGGTGATCCCCCTGCCTCAGTTGCCAAGTGCTTAGGTACAGTTGTGTGCTGCTGTATCCAGGTGAGTGAGTGGTAGTGGTAGTCATTAACTCCATTTCTCCTCTGTACAGCTTGGAATTCATCCATCTCTCCCTTAGGAGAGCTTAGGTAGATACTGACATGTCTTTAGAGACAAGAAGTAACATTTGAGCTGGGCGTGGTGGCACATGCCTTTCATCCCAGCACTCAGGAGGCAAACGCACACAGATCTCTGAGTATGGGGCCAGCTTGATCTACAAAGAGAGTTTCAGGACATCTAGAGCTGTTCCAAAGAGAAACCCTGTCTTGAAAAACAAAAATAAAACATCATCGTCATAATAAAAGAGATTTTGAAATATGTGTATGTATTTGAATCTGTCAGGCTGGGTAATAAATGCCTAAAAGTCCAGCACTCAAGAGGCTAAAACAAGAGGATGCTGAATTCCAGGGACAGACAAGGCAGGGAGGGACAGAGTAGCCGAGAGGCTCTGCTATTGAGAAAATAGGGTTGTAGAAATGAAAGAGAGCATTGAAGAACATCAAGAATGAACAGGAAGGAATAGGGAACCTAGAGACCAAGAAAAAATGAAAAAGAGGGGCTTCAAAGACAGGAAATCTGGATCATTTCAGAGATCCCTGTAGGAAGAGAAGGCTTTGAAAGGGTGGTTAAGGTCTGGAAATTGGTATCAGTGATAGAGTGTTGGTCTACCATGTGAGAGGCCCTGAATTTAAACTCCTGAACTAGAAAGGGAAGAAAGGATAAGCTTTAAAAGGCCTGAGGAGTCAGGCAGAAAACTCCAGACTTAATGTTTCCATGAGAGTGAGTAACATGAGCAACATCTGGTTATCTCCAGTGACAGCTATTTCACCAAAAGACTGAGTGCTAATTCTTCTAAGAAGTGCTCTGCAATTTACAGTGGTTTTTATTTTCTGGAACAAGTCCCTGCCTTTCTTTTGCTAAAGCAGATGTTTCATGTACTTGACCTTTTAGTACCTACCTCCAAGAAATTTCCTTCGAAGCAAGTGCATCTGGATATAAGAAAGAGCAAGAGGCACAGATATCTTTAAGTCACCAGGACCTTCACAAATAGTAAAAGTTTCTTTCTATTTTATTTTTGTTCCTACCCCCAAATTTATTCATTGCTCAGTAAACAGATCTCTCTTGAGCACCCTACCACATGCTAAGCCCCATTGTAGAGTGGGACACCTCACAGCCACACAGCTAGTGCCATTCCTATCCTGACCTCAGTTAAGGCCAAAGAATTAACATCCAAATACAAAAGAATTATTTGCGAGACAAATGCAGGTAGTCTTCGCCCGTACGTACATATAATCCAAGCACTTAGAAGGCTGAAACAGGAGGTTGGCCGTGAGTTTGAGACCATCTGGATCTACATAGAGAGACCTGTCTCCAAAATAAATATAAATAACAAAGAAATCATCAACAGTGCAAAAGGATATGGTTGGAATTGCTGAGGGTTGTACATGAGCACATGGGATGGGAAACTTGGTCCATATTTAAGGCGCCTGGAACAGTCTGATGAGACAAAATGTGAGCAGAAGACGCACAGGGGGAACAAAAGAGCATTCTAAACAGAAGGATCAGAATAGACAATGACTAAGAAGGCAAAACCATGAAGATGGGTTTAAGGAAGGAGAGAGAGAGAGAGAGAGAGAGAGAGAGAGAGAGAGAGAGAGAGAGAGAAAACAAGTGTGCACTGTAGTGTGGGCTATGAAAAGCAAGTGCTGGAACTGAGAAACAGGCAAGTTCCAGGTCATGCAAGGCCAGGGAAATATCCCAGGACCCAGAGAGCCCTATGTACAGTTCTGTAGAGGCAACAACCTAAAGTTTTATTTTACAAAAATGGGGGCTGGTAACATCATTACGTGCCTGCTGCCAAGCCTGATGACCTGCGTTGATTCCTGGAGCCCACATGACAGAGAAGAGAACTGACTCCTGCGGTAATGTGTTGACAATATAGAAAGGAAACTACTGGAGGCTTATAAAAAAGGGATTTGCTTTTAAAATTTATGTATATGAGTTTTTTTTCCTACATGTATGTAAGTTCAGCACATGTGTGCCAATGGAGGTCAGAAGAGGGCTTTAGATCCCCTGGAGTCAGAGTTACAGCTGATGGTGAGCTTCTGTGTTCTCAGTGCTACGAAACTACCGAGGCATTTCTCCAGTCCCAACTGGAAGCTTCTCAGTGCCCAGTAAAGAGTCCATTTTCAGAAAAATATTAATCTAGAGAGCTTACACAGTCCATTATGGTGACAGCTAGCAAGGATATGCATAAAACTTCATAGTGAATATTTATGGAAAAGACAATGTGTTAATATTTGCATTAAATGGAATATTTTATTAAATTTATTATCTAATAATAGGTCTGTGATGTGGGATGCCCCTCTGCATGCTGTGAATGTGTTTTATTACCATTGTTTAATAAAGAAACTACTTTAGCCTTTTGCATGGCAGAATGTAGCTAGGTGGTAAATCCAAGCAGAGATAGAGGGAGAAAGAAGTCAGAGCCAGGGAGAAGATGCCAGCAGCTGCTGGAGAAGCAAGATGTGAGATAACAAGCCACAAGCCTCATGGTAAAATGTAGAATAATAGAAATGGGTTAATTTAAGTTGTAAGAGCTAGTTAATAACCAGCCTGTAGTAGTAGGTCTAACAGTTTGTAATTAATATTTGTAATTAATTTTAAGCCTCAGAGTGATTA